ACCCATTTGTAGTTACGAGTAAACTTTCACGGCGCCGGGAGTGTAAATGTATACGCATGAACGCCGTGCAAACAACAAACGTGAACAGGCGTGAACGCATGAACCCCGTAAAACCATTTACACTTAGAGCTTCACAGCATAAGTATAAAGCCGCCATGAGAAGATACAAGCAAATATGCAGGCATTTAGATTGCATTACATAACCTGTTTTGAACCGTGCAAATTATGTGCGAATAAGACCACGCATGCACATGTACATTTATAATCATTAATGTTAACATAATATAGTCTGTGGTGTAAGTCAGTCATGTACACACAACCGGTTGACAATTTTTACATTCTATGCATGTGAAATAGCAATGAAAATAGCATCTGTACTTGTGACTAGGTTTCTTGCATGATAGTAATGGTTTAAATAAAAAGGATAGAGAGGCAAAAGAGAAGACATGTCATCTAAATGATTACTGCCGTCCATAAACACCTACAATTACATCACAAATTACTACTAAACTATTGTGTCCTGGACCGAATTAGGGGATGTCATTGAACTTCCCCTGGGTTTGACCTGAATGGTTATGAGAAAATTGTTTGACACCGGTTTTCTGTGAACTCGTGGTATAGTCCAGTCGAGCCAGCCTATTTGTGTTTGTTGGTATATATGTTAGGTTTACAACTGAGTAATTAGTTTTGTCAACATGATTTTTCCTGTTCAACAAGGAATTAAAACCGAAATCCACGACCATACATTTATGTGATATATTTGAAAGAAACATGACAACTTAAGACATGGTTTTTAACAACTAGAATTACGGGTCAAACACGGCTGTTATATACCTACTTCAGTGTAAGCTAATAACTTGTAAAAATATAGTTTTTACATGCATCATAAATCTGGTTGCATAAGGAACTTTTTAGAGCATGTTATTTAAGTACCATATACTGGACTTAAACACCAAATGGAATATATAAAAGCAGGCGGTTGTGCATATAATTTCAATTAGAATGTACACTACATTTCCCAAACAGAACCAATAATTGTGTGATGAGCACGATCTGTATCTGGCTATTATTTATCTATGATATGTACGCATTTAAAAATGTATAAGTAAGTTTTTCAGCAGTCTGGTTACCATAGTACAGGCTCTGTTTAGTTTAAGGTCAGATGGCCGTGTGTGAGATGTGTGAAGTTATTATTATTAAAAATAAAGTCGAACTTTACATCCCATAACACAAGATGTGTTTAATTTGTGTATAGATACAATAAAAAAAGTCAACTCTAAAAACGTAGATTCCCATATTTAATACAAATTATTTCGCTTGAATTATTAAACTAAAACATCTTAAAGTACAACATAAATTGTTGTTCATTATCAATTTAATGTTTCTTTTTTTTGATATCGTCAAATCAACATTAAAGTAAATAATACTCACACCTCAGTGCTTCGTGCAAAAACGTCCTGTCTAATTGTTTTAATGTTAATTAAAAATATACTGCTTTGACTTGACCGCCATCTAGTTTATTATTACTTCAAGCAGAGCTAGTCTATTCCTTACTCCATTGATTAGTCATACGAGTACATCCGTTAAAGTATCTAGACAGTTAAGTACAAATAGAAAGCTTCGCTTCAAACTGTTGATAACAACAAGTCTGTTTCCTGTTCTCTATGAGTCAATGTTCGGAAAGTGATCACTGCACTAGCAAAGTATCGATAATAGCTCCACGTTTATGTCAAGCTATAACTTTGTAATTCTAAATCGATACTACGAGTTTAAATGTCCATTTTTTATATTGGAAAATATTTCTTCTGGCGAGAGATATAAAAACTGTTGTACATTTTTACATTTTTTGTTTTATAACGTATATTCCTTTGGTGAAACCGCCCAAAAATAGATATAGATATTGCATTATGAAAAACAAAAAAATAAATTAGCAGGTTTTGATTTTGCTATCCGTCTATTTAATGGTTCTGCACTCTTAGTAGCATCATACACGAAAAAAAACGCCCTGATATCACAACATAATATAAAGACCAAGTTATATTCATCATCGAAAAGTTGTAGAAGAATAGTAAGTAATTACACGAATTTTAAAATTATCAAATTAAAGAAAGAAGTGAAGTGGACGATTGAAGTTTTTGTAGTGCCACTAAAATATTGACTATTAAAATTAGACGCAAATAAAATGCATGTAAATATAAAATCTGCATTTTTAAACTTCTGGCGATTAATAATTACCCTGTATTCAAATTAAATATAAATAGTCCTAGTCGATGTTTATTTTTAAGAAACGGGATGAGTAATATAAATGAAGTGGTTTACAAAATTTTCTGGTTTTATATTGGCAAGTTTCTTTAACCAAACTTTTATTTAAAATCATTTAAATTTAGTAAATATACATTTCAAGGTATTGTTCAACGTTGTGTTCTTTAATAAACTGCACAGACTACATTCAAATAAAAACAAACATAAACTCTTCTTCTTGCTTTGACATCTTAAATAGGTACTCATAATAAAATTTTATATTTGAGTTGTGAAGGATACGAAGATAGAATAATATCATTCAGAAAAGTATCCAATATAGTTGTTGTGTAAAAAATAAACTTAAACAAAGCGAAGACAAGCCTGTTCCTAAAATATGGGAATTTTAATACGCCTCTACCCTTTCCTTCCAGATGCGTCCATCCAATAGCGTCCACTTCTCTACGCGTCATCTTGTCCGTCTATCTAGCCAAGTCTCCAAGTTATTGTGAAAATCTCAAGGCCCAAATGTAATTTCAAAAAAATATACAAATTTAACGGATAGTATTAGGATTAGCGCATTCAAACAAATAAAAACTCGTCTGTACGTAAATATTATGTGCTTATTATGTAATATTACGCGACTGTATTTTTATAAAACAGTCTTGATAACTGGTTTTTGCTAATTTACAATTTTGTTGTCAGTTGGAATTTATGTTTTGAGAACATATTTAGTTCTGGTGCGTTAATGCTATTAGATAACAAAAGTAATCGGTTGGAGGATTCTGACTTTCCGCCTATTGCCAATTCGAGTCACAGGAGAGCAATTCTGACCTGTTTGTGCTGTACTATCGTATAGGTTGGCAAACAAGCAGGCGGGTCACCTGATGATAAGTGATTACCGCCGCCCATGGATACTTACAACTCAAGAGTCATAAGTGCGTTACCGCCTTGGAGTCCCTCTCCCCAGAATCAGGGAGAGGAGAGGTGAGGTTAAACTTAGATCCGATACAAAGTTAACTCTATTATCAGGTTGAGTAGGAAACGTCGTATATTTATAATATAAGTACTGATTATCTATTTCATTTTTATAATAATAGCCCGGCAAAAAGATTTCTTGTTTGGTGAAATTTTGCTAAAGAAAATTTTTAAGGTTCATCTTATAAAATGATAGTACTAAGTTATATTTTTCTCATAAAGTTCTTTTAATTTATATCCTAGGATCGCGTTCCTGAAAAGTAAATAAACGAACGCCTTTCTTCGTTCTAAAGGCAATATTTTATAGGCTCCTTTTAAACAAGGCAAACTTAGTACACTTTTTAAGTATATAAGTTTTAAAAATATTTTCCATGTCCATTAAATTTTTGTGTAGTAACATTGTTGTTCATTACTTGCTGCAGTCTGATGGCGCAGACTGCTTAGTAAATACGCATGTATGAGAAAAGAGAAAACTGTATGTTCATTTTTTATCGTCATCATTCATGAATAGTATACTGCTAGACATGGATCTCTCCTTTTGGCCTGCTATACCACGCTGGCCAGTCGGGTTGCTATAGGGTTTATTTCATGTTTTCCTTCTCCTTTCAGTCCTGTTGTCGTCTTAGTTAGCTGCTTAGTCGGCTCTTACGACACTCACAGGATGAATAGGGGTGTTAACACTCTGTATTCTTAATACGTCTCCTCACGGACAATTTCTCGCTTGATTTTATTATTTTTGATCGCTTGAAATCTATGTCACTCGGGCTTTGGTGTAAGACAGAGTAAAAATAAACCCACTTGGTTATATCTATGTGGTTCCAAACTTGAAATCCATTTTTGTGTAAATTGAGTCCTAAATACAAAACGTAGCGCCTCCTAACGTATTAGATAATAGCTTGAATGTACAATTATGTGCGTATGTATAAATAAGCGTAAATGTAGGGGTAATGAGGAAACGTATCGACTTGGTCAAAACTTCCTTACATCTCTACTACACTTTCACTGTCTGTGACTTAACTGTGTATGATATAACACGTGTGTTGGATTAGAATGTTTTTGTGCAGATATGAACATTCCTCAACTACATACATGTATTGTAGTTGAGGAACATTAGGTGGAATATTAAGTTAATGGATAATAGAGAAATGTTTTAGAAACTAAAACAAATAAGTATCTGCCTGCTTTTTTTAACCAACAATATTTTTTTTAGATATAAGCAGGCATAAGTTTTTAAATAATAATGAATTTGCTTGTTTTTTTAGTGTGCTATCTACTAAAAGCTTTTATTTCCTTAGCCCTTTTATTTTTTTAATAACACCATCTCATATTTTAATAATAAAAAAAAAAACTAAATAAAAATGTGTAAACTTGTCCATCTTTCTTAATTATTCATGTTTTACAAATAATTTAAAAGTGTTTAAAATGAAAATTTAACAAACTTGATAGTAGCTTAATTAAACTTTCAGTTAAAGTTATACATGATCGATAAATTAAGCATATTATTACATTTTGCATTAAGACTGAATAACATTAGCATATTACTGTAAACTCAATTTATTTTGGTTTATAACTTTAATTTCTAAATAAATGCAAACGGTCTTCTATTATGTTCTCGATAGATAATTTAAAACAAAAAAAAATATTTTTATCTACAGCTACAGACATAAAACGATACAGGTACTTTGCATGCCTACGTTAAAAAATCTGCAAGTTCAAGTTAAAAAAAGTAAAAGAATAATAAAAATGAATATAAAAAACTAAAAAAGAAGTCCAAAAATACTTACACGAAGATAGATCCGTCACCGTAGACAACACACACTAAAAAAGTTCTAGATTCAAAAACTTTACCAACAGCGTCTGTTAGCGATGATCGCGACGTTCGACTGCGGAATCGTCGCAAGCGCAGGTGAATGTGCACGTCACACCACCACTCTTGTTTCGCATAATATTTACTGTATAAAAATACACCTTCCCTTCTTAACATTTGTAGTAACAAAGGGTCTCTTTTAATTGGAAGGACTATAGCACCTGTCGTGTCCGTTGAACTTTACCTATTTAAATGGACAATTGTCCCCGCGATGCGTCTTCCATATTTATAAAGTTTTTTGTATGTATAGCTGTACTGTAGCGCCGTCAACTTATTACTAAGTTAGTCTATAAAACATAAATAATGGTGAAATTTTAAAAGGCTATCGTTTTCTATATTTTCACATCTTATCCATTAAGTTCGTTGACATTTTATTACATAAAAAGAAAGTAAATCAAGAAACCTTATTAATGGTTGTATTGTACAGAATTTTTACGGTTAATAAACGCACAAAATGGTGAATGAAATAGCAACTTTGCGTTTAAAACACCAATTTATTTAATTGTATGTAATCAATCTCAGTAGCAACGTTTATGAAAGTAGTTTCTCGAATTAATTTTCTTTTAGTTGCGGTTTAGTTAGTAGGTACGTTGTTATGGGAGTGTACAAAGCTTATTTGACACTAGCGAGCCGCTCCGGCTTCGCACGTGTGCAATGTAGATACTACTAATCACACACACACATCACATCAACAGCCTGTAATAGTCCACTGCTGGACATAGGCCTCTCCTTAGAAAGGAGGTTTTGGCCTACTATACCACGCTGGCCAGACGGGTTGGTATAGGGTTTGTGTCAAGTTTTCCTTCTCTCTGCAGTGCTGGTGTCCTGCGTATTTCGCTCCCTTAGTCGCCTCTTACGACACCCACGGGATGAATGGGGGTGGTGACACTACTAATATGTACTACTAATGTTATGTGAGTGTCGAGTAATTAATTATACTATTTTTATTATGACAGGACTATACTACAGGACATTTTAATACCAATAGTTAAAGGCCCGCTCCGATCATACCGGCCGCTGATACTCGCTACGGACTTACAGCCCAAAGCGGTGACGGCTGCTTTGCCCCCGCATTTTAAACCTCCAAATATTGATTTTATTGAAATACTGTAAATTTTAATCTACATTAAATGCACCACGTATCTAACGTATTTAAGTTTAGTATATATTGTTTAAAATAACTTTTTGTAATATTTAAAAGATAAAATGGTTACTGTGGGTTATCCTTAGGAGATTCACATACACCATTCTATACTTTTTTGTAGATCTTTTTAAGATATACAATTCCGTAGTACATTAATATCTTCTAGTAAAGTATCTGGCATGTGCCAAGTGTGGTAAATAACTCATAGGTTTGCAAACCAGCAGCTTTACATCCGGCTAGCGGGCTTACAGATGACAAAAAAATTAATTCATAGCTTTGGACACACATATCTTCGCTTAAGCTTAATAGAATAGGACTAAAACATATAGGCTCTATATTTAGAACATAACCACAACAAACATAACAAAAACAAAACCATATCGTAACCACAGATGATAAAATGGTTGCTGTTGCTCTTCTATTTTGACTACGTTTACTCTTTACAAACTATTTTGGCAGTGATATTGTGTTCATCTATAATTAGTTTATAGGCCCCTATTTTAAAAGTCGTCTGAAGTATCGGTTGAACTCTGATTATCTGAAATCAGTTTTAAGTTCAGATCAAAACTTAAGAGTCGTTATTATTTTAACGCGTTTTAAGTTTATTTGGCATGTCCAAGTTATTTATCAATACTTGTCATGTTAAATGGTCAAACAATGCTTTTATTTTTATATTTCTAAAACATATTATACTAGAAGAATACTTTTAACATAAACCAAAAGGTTGTGGTGATTTTATTTTAAACAAAAATCGCTGTACGATGTAAATTTCATTGAATTTAATATCAATTAAGGTAAATTAAACTGAATTGATAATGCATGACAAGTAGTTCTTTCGTAAATAAAGTAAATATTTCGTAAATTCAGAAACAAATCATCGTAAAACACATTCATTTCTCCTAAAATGCCTTAGAAATCATTACCATCGTTCTACTCGTAAAATAAGATTTCAGTGATTTGAATATGGATCGATGTATCCCGTTTTAAATGACGTTCAATAATTAAATCTATACTTAAAATTAGTTTCAAGACTAGATTCACGACTGATACACGTTTTTAAATGCGGCCTTAATTTTATTTATTCTATGAAATAAAGAAATTTGTCTTTGACTTTTATATAACTATTTCGATATTAAATGAATTTTAACTAAAATCCGATCGTTGTGGCAAAAACATAAAATAAAATATTTATATCATTGTGCTCTTGATTTTTAAACAACTTAAGAATTTCAATTTTACAAAACTAAGTATGATAATTAACTTTTATTTTCATGACATAATATTTTCGATACGTAATATATAATTCGATATAATTTAGATCTTCTCAATAAGCTTAACCGCGTTCTCAAGAATGGCATTCGATTCGTTTTCAATTTACGCAAATATGATCACGTGTCAGAGCATCGCTCCCTTTTGGAGTGGCTTCCAATTCGCCAACACAGGCATTTAAGTACCCTATATTCTTTACTCTTTTCTCCAAGTTCTCCTTCTCATTTAACTAATCAACTTCAATATTTAGGTGCAAACTACGCTTAGCTCTGACTTCGTACATTCTACTTTCCTGGTACAATCTGTTTTTTTAATGAACGCGTCCTCGAGGCATAAACTCGGCAAAATTTAACTTCTTATCAGATCCAACTTTTTTTTACTCTCTCTTCTAGAATTTATTATGTGGACATAGTTATACATGCATATGGTTATATTATATATGCATATATGTATTGTGTGTGTAAATTTATTATTTATTTAAAAAAATATCTAATGTAATTAACATAAGTACTCTGGATATATGATATTCTATACATATTTGCTATATTTTTCATAAAATCACATTTTTCATTTCTGTGCATCTACCATGTTTTAGCTCTACATCGCCCTAAGTTTGACTGGGAGAAAATGCCTTCCGCATTAAGTTCGGCTTTTGTCATATTTGTGCATAAAGTGTAAATAAACAAATATTTTCGAACATTGGACTACACGGATGGCGTAGTGGTTTAAGCGGTCGCCACGCCGCTTACTACTACACCGAGTGTTGTGGGTCCGATCCCCACATGGGACGACACTTTGTGTGATTCACAAATTATTGTTTTGAGTCTGGGTGTTATTTATGTCCGTTTCATGTATGTTTGTAAAGTCCCTGCGACACAGGATATATTCCTAATGCGGGAGTTGTCTTTTAAGAAAAGAGAAGAAAGAAAACTCTGACACACAACGCTATCCAGCTTCAAACCCAGCAGAGATTGTACTATGAAAGCTAGATTGACTGATAGAATACTTATATACTTATAAACACATAAATATTACACATAGCAAACCTCCAAACTCCGAAACAAATCATTGCAGATCATACAATAATTTGATTTTACCCGGGCATCGAACCCGAGACCTCAGCACAGTAGCAGTCGCATAGGCTATCTCTGCGGAAGAAGAAAGTTACCCAATTACAATTAATTATGATGTAAGCGAAGAGAAGTAGGTGATACTTTTTTAAAGTTAATTTCTAAACTTTCAGTTCTTTGTGTGTGATTTGGTAGTAAATAGTTCATTATTTAGAACTGCATTTAGGCTTTTAAATCTAACATAGTATTTATGTGGTAGTGACAGCCAGTGGGAGGCTGAAAAAAGGTAAGTAAAAATTTTGTGTTGTATCCCATGGATTTTTAAATGTATAAGTTCGTATTTTATACCAAAAGGTTGGAAAATATTGGGCGTCAATATTCTAAGTTATGTCAAACAGGTATAAGTTCAGAAAAGGAACAAGTTACATGTATAACATAGGAACAAAGCGAAAGGGTTTCGGTCAATGTGAAAATATTTAAATATATTCATTTCAGGGACAAAGTATTTTTAGAATCTTTGAAGCAGGGACATGCAGACGAGAATCTAAAAAAACCCAGCACAATTTTATATGATACGAAAATTCTATTAGTAAACTTATATTTGAATCTAGGTATTATTTTAAAATGAAATAAAGGTTATTGAAGCTACTTGAAAAGGAAATTGCTTTAAAAATAGCACAACTTCGTGTCACTGGTCAGTAATTGCGGTGCTTAAATGCTTCGTTATTTCATCCTCATTATCTCGGCGTTTGGCCTATTATATTTCGGATCAGCTTAATGCACTTGCCTGATGCCAACCCCCTTATTTAATGTAATTGTTTACAAACAGGACACTGTTGTCCCGACCTTAACTTTCTCTGTAGAAAGTTAAGGTCGAGGAAACTGGAGCTTCAGGGATACTGCAAGTTTTAGACCCTTTTTTCGTAACGGGTGGAAAATGCTTCCGAGGAACGCCATCGAGGTGATGCAAGAGTCAGGTGTATGCTGTTTTTCTTAAAAATAACCCCGACGGCTGGCCTCAGGAGGATCCGAACCATGTGATTTCAAGGTCCCACCTGAATTTACGCTGCGCCTATCCAGGCCCTATACCAGAGAAAGCCGCAAGCTTCACACTTCAGATTTCTTATCCCAAACGGGCCTGAGCTTGTAAAGGCTCAAAGAGCTCCGATATATTTCGAAAATAGCTCTAGTCTAATCAGAACCAGAATTGCACAGAATTGAACAAGATAATAAGACTTAAACTAAGAGGTTTTCAACACGGAAGTCAGTCAGCAAATATCCACACTTTCATATTTTACTTTAGCAATAACCAACATTGACTCATCACTAGGTACTTGCGAGGAATGTCAATTATCCTTTTGCTTAAGGAGACAATAAAGGGAACCAGTCAAGTCAGTGTCCAACCTTGACAGAAGATCTTCAAGGTCCTAGTAAGTAAGAAACGAACCACTGCGCACTATTTTGCATAGTATACTCGTGTAAGTAAAAACTTGATGAAGTTCAAATTGTCCTTGGAGTGCAAAATCGTTTACAAATATTAATGTTTTTATTCCAAACCAGTTGTTAGCTCTTCCAATACGTTATTCTCTCTAAA